TATTCACATCTTTTGGCATTCCCCGCTTCTAAATAACTTCTGGTCTCCAATTTTCCAAATTATATCTGCTGTTTCACAGTCTTCTGTTCCCTCTAATCCAGATCTAGCACTACTGAATTTAAATACTGAAACTATTAACCCCCCATGCCAGACACTCTATCACCCACATCCTAATGGCAGCCAGATTGAGCATCACCAGATCCTGGAAAAATTCTCACCCGGCCACTGCGCTTGATGCTCTCATATTAGCTCACAACTATTGCTCTTACGAGCTTGCCATGGTCTCTAGCAAAGATCAATATAAAAAAGTATTTGCCCTTTGGCAACCCTGGCTTACATGTTATCAAACACACCCACTTGTATAAACACCTTACTTTTGTAGAATGCTCTTTCACCGCTTTCTTTAAGCTCCAACACTTCGAATTTATATGCTAACTTGTCACTGGAATCTTTATATTTGTTTCTCTCAGTTTTATTTATTCTTATATTGTTACTAATTGTAGATTATTTCTCTACTACACATTGGATTATCTTGTACTTATACGCAAAAATTCCAATAAAAATTGACAAATAAATTAAAACTATTTTAGATGACGAAAACAATTCAGATGACTAAAATTGCATTTTACTCAAAAAACTAAAATATGACTAAAACTAAAAAGGCACTTAAGGCAAAACACTGACGAAAACTAAATCGAAATTTGAGAATAAGTAGTATTTAATGTTAGTAATATATTCAGGTAATATGTGCAATGGCATTAGAGTCAATAGAGTTTAGTTTTTTGGGGGTTTTTTTATTTTAAAATTGCACTTCTGTTTTGTCAAAAAGCAATATTTTTGTTTATGAAATCTAGTTTGATTTATATAGACGTTATACAGGTGAAACTCAAAAAATTAGAATATCGTGCAAAAGTTCATTTATTTCAGTAATGCAACTTAAAAAGGTAAAACTAATATTTGAGATAGACTCATTACATGCAAAGCAAGATAGTTCAAGCCATGATTTGTCATCATTGTGATGACTATGGCTTACAGCTCATGAAAACCCCAAAACCACAATCTCAGAAAATTAGAATATTGTGAAAAGGTGCAATATTCTAGGCTCAAAGTGTCCCACTCTATTCAGCTAATTAAGCCATAACACCTGCAAAGGGTTCCTGAGCCTTTAAATGGTCTCTCAGTCTGGTTCAGTAGGAATCACAATCATGGGAAAGACTGCTGACCTGACAGTTGTGCAGAAAACCATCATTGACACCCTCCATAAGGAGGGAAAGCCTCAAAAGCTAATTGCAAAAGAAGTTGGATGTTCCCAAAGTGCTGTATCAAAGCACATTAATAGAAAGGTATGTGGAAGGGAAAAGTGTGGAAGAAAAAGGTGCACAAGCAGCAGGGATGACCGCAGCCTGGAGAGGATTGTCAGGAAAAGGCCATTCAAAAGTGTTGGAGACTTTCACAAGGAGTGGACTGAGGCTGGAGTCAGTGCATCAAGAGCCACCACACACAGACGGATCCTGGACATGGGCTTCAAATGTCATATTCTTCTTGTCAAGCCGCTCCTGAACAACAATGTCAGAAGCGTCTTACCTGGGCTAAAGAAAAACAGACCTGGTCTGTTGCTCAGTGATCCAAAGTCCTCTTTTCTGATGAGAGCAACTTTTGCATCTCATTTGAAAACCAAGGACCCAGAATATGGAGGAAGAATGGAGAGGCACACACTGCAAGATGCTTGAAGTCCAGTGTGAAGTTTCCACAGTCTGTGTTGATTTGGGGAGCCATGTCATCTGCTGGTGTTGGTCCACTGTGCTTCATTAAGTCCAGGGTCAACATAGCCATCTTCCAGGAGATTTTGGAACACTTCATGCTTTTGGCCCACACTGCCAAAAGCACCAAAACCTGGTTCAATGACCGTGGGATTACTGTGCATGATTGGCCAGCAAACTCGCCTGACCTGAACCCCATAGAGAATCTATGGGACATTGCCAAGAGAAAGATGAGAGACCGAACAATGCAGAAGAGATTAAGGCTGCTATTGAAGCATCCTGGTCTTCCATAACACCTCAGCAGTGCCACAGGCTGATAGCGTCCATGCCACGCCGCATTGAAGCAGTAATTGCTGCAAAAGGGGCCCAAACCAAGTACTGAGTACATATGCATGCTTATACTTTTCAGAGGTACAATATTGTTCTATGTACAATCCTTGTTTTATTGATTGCATGTAATATTCTAATTTTCTGAGATTGTGGATTTGGGGTTTTCATGAGCTGTAAGCCATAATCATCACAATTATGACAAATCACGGCTTGAACTATCTTGCTTTGCATGTAAGGAGTCTATCTCATATATTAGTTTCACCTTTTAAGTTGCATTACTGAAATAAATGGACTTTTGCACGATATTCTAATTTTCCAAGTTTCACCTGTATATCACAACAGCTAAATCTGTGTCTGTAGTGCATGTTCAAACTTTAAGACCATAAATAATAACACATTATTAGATTTTTACTCCAGGAGTATATAATGAGTTTGAAAATTCAAATCAAATACTTAAATATTGCATTACAATTTAACTAAACCCATTTGGTTTTAGTCGACTAAAACAAATCAGATGACTAAAATACGACTAAAACTAAATTGGTATTTAAGTCAAAAGACTATGACTAAAATTAAATCGAAATTTGACATCAAAATTAACACCACTGTTCACTACTGCCTGTCAAATGCTCTCTGAAGAACGACCTGAATGCAGATCACTCTTCAGACAGCAAAGCAAGTGTAAACAAAGCCTTAGAGAATATTTGTTATGGGATTCAGAGAGGATTCATGACATAAGACAACCAAACTTTCAGAAGAAAGACGAGACAGCTGTGTATTTCACAATTTTGAATTTGCCACCTGTCTCATTGGCTCTAAGCCCTGTTTCTAATTATTCAATGGCCATAAGAAGATCTGGAATTTAGTAGCTGATTGACAAGGATTGCTTTGCATAGAAAGAAGAGCATGATATCAGTGTTATTACTTCAAAAACATTTAAGGCTAGGTCAGGTCAAATTTATGAGTTGCCTAAAGTGCATATCGAGGCATTCCCCAGGTTGTATTTCTTTAAAAATACCCCGCAACTACAGAAAAAAACCTGCTGATCTGCCAGGAATCCAGTGTGCTCCTAATTTCCAGACTAAATGGACAAAAGAGTACCCCTATTGCAATAAAATCTCAGAGCGGTCAGCCCTGTCTAGTTCTCCCCTTTCGGTATAGCAATGACAGAATCAACTCAAAAAGGAAGGCGGGAGCTCAATTGCTAGGAAAGTTTTGCTTTAGGTTGTGACTCTAGTATAGAGTTTCTCAGCCAGGGTTCAGTGGAACCCTAGGGTTCTGCGACATGTCCCCCAGGGGTTCCAAGGCAATCTATCCTGTCAGTCGGAGAAAGCTGACAGGTAAATTGCATCCTCTCTGCTGACACACGCAGAGATAGGCCGGGAAGTGGCTGCGATACTATTGGCCGTGGCGCACTATTCCCCCGCTGGCCCCTCTTCCTCTCCTGTCCAACCCAGGTGCTTGTATGAGACATCATCTGGAATGGACAGGAGGGGAAGGGGGGGGCTAGAGGAGACGAGTGCACCCCTAGAGGCCTAAGAACTGCCGCCTCTGCATAAGAAGGAAGCCGGTACAGCAGTGCGCCCAACTGTGTCTCCAACACTGTGCACTGCAGTCTGTCCCATGTAGTGTGCCCTGCGGTCTGTCCCATGTAGTGTGCCCCATGTAATTGGCCTAGCTGTGTGCCCCCACAACATGCCCTGCCCTTATGTAATGCACCCTGCTCCCATGTAATAGGTCCTGCTCCCATGTAATAGGCCCTGCTCCCAAGTAGTGTACCCTCCGACCCCCATTGTACTGTGCCAAGAAATAAGGGTGCAGTTTTCACCGATACAAAAATTCATAGTAAGCAATAAAATCAGCAAAATAAAAACATATATCAGAAGTTCTGACCCTTTCCTTTTTATACTAAAAATGTGTTTTTTCCTCTGTGTCCCCCTCACTTTTTGCATCTTGACAGGAAATTAGATAAAACCACCCCCTAAAAAGGGACACAGACAGCAATATTAAACCCCAAAATGGAAGCAGAGTATTAGTGGCCTTACGTCTCTCTACTGATTAAACATTCAGAGGGTTCAAAGCAGTATTGAACCCAAAAACAAAAAAGTTATATATTGCAGTCTATCAATCTTTAGATGTGGTGGCTGCATTAGTTTTCTTTTAGGCTTTGTCCCTGTTTTTTTTACCTGATGATCTGGCCAGTAACAAGCACACCCTCTGTATTAGCGTGCCCTCATTGCGGATGAAGGAGCATTGTCAGTCGGAGGGGGGGGGGGGGGGAATGGGTGGGTTTTGGGGAAAAGTTGGATGGATTAGCAGAATGAAATACACTTACAAAAATTGCAGCCAAATTCCAGCTCATACTTTATATTCCGTTACAGCAAACATTTTTTTTTTTACTTTTAGGATTTACTTAAAGGTTTTACATGAATAAATAAAACTTGATCATTGTAAGCACCCCTGTCAGTGGCAAATAGAGAGTCTCATCCATATATACTGATACATCTGCAAGAGAGCTTGTTCTTTTTTGAAAAACAGCAGACATACTGGCTGGATCACCAGATAAAAATAGAAGAAAGCAAGCTTAAAAATAAAATTGATGTAGACATCAAATCTAAGAATTGGTAAGCTGCAATATAATAAATGTTTGCTTTTGGGTTTAATACTGCTTTAATGTGTTCTTAAAAAAATCAATGGAGGGCTGTTTTTTCCTATCAGATTCAAATCTCTATGATCTGTTTCAAAGTCTATAATCTTATAGTATGACTTGCCATTACATGCCCCCTTTATAGAAATAAAGACCTGACCTGACAGACTTTACTTAAACTAAATAAAATGGTTATGCTTTAAGGGAATTACAGCCTATGAAAAGCTTTTATTCTATCCAAATACAACTTAATAAAGACAAACCTTGGCAAACCTTTGCCTTGCTCTTGCCTCTTCTTTGTCACTTGTTGCATGACCTGCTCCCAGTTTATATTCCTTCTTGATACGTTCAGAATCTGACGAAGGGTTGGTTTCAGTCCTGAATCCTTTTCACCATCGTTCTTACGATGACCACTTTTGTTCCTAATGCGACGTGCGCTGTTGAGGTTTGGCTCCGGAAGATGAGTTCCAGGTTTGCTTCTCGAACTAATATGCCTAGTAAGATCTCTCTGGAGGGAAACAGGAAGTCCAAGCTTGCTCAATTCTGGTATTATTGGATTAGAAGAATGGGCAGCACTTTTCTGAAGTTCAAGATCAGAAACATTTTCAAAATTTTCACAGTCATTAAAGTCTTGAGATTGAAGAGAATTTCTATTTTCTCCACTATCATGAGACTCACTGGTCACTGAACATTTCTCAGTAGATTTTGCAATATATAAACCAGAATTGTCCGAACTGGTGGTGATTTGTTCCAAAGATTTTGTGCTATCATCTGCCTTGGGAGAGACATTTTTATCTGAACTATCACTAAGCAACTCCACCACAGGTCCTCTTTTAGGTGTATTACTGAACAAATCATCATCGCTAGCATCTTCTAAGATCTCATCAGAGGAAACGCCATTCTGAAAAGGGTCATTCTTTGCCTCAGTTCGGTCAGTCTCAGGATCACTAGGTGGCCTACTCAAAAACTGGTTGTCACAGCTCGCACTGGCCTGACTATTACGCAGCATCTGTTTTGCTTTGTACAACACCTCACGAAGGGTTTCCACTGGCTCTTTTTTCCTACTCTCTTGTGCCTCCTCGCTGTTCTTTGTGGTCTTAGCTGCATTGCGATATTTGGAAATACTATTGGATCTAATTGTTTCTAAATTGAGAGCATTTTAGCCGATTTTGTCTCTCGCCAAAAAGTGAAAACGACAATTTTACACCTTTTAAACGGATTCTTTTGCTCTTTTCTCAAAGTTAAAGCTTTATTATCTGGGATGTTGCGAAGTGGGGATTTTAAAGAAGGCATACGAGAGCTCCAAAGCTCTGTGAAGTCACTTTTCTTGCCATTAGACTGCTCGGCTTGCATATCTTCTGCCACCTTCAGTTTGGCCAAATTTTCATTTTGGTCTGCTTGTAGTTCTTCACTATTTGTCTCCTCTGAGCAAGGTGCTATATTTTTGTCAGCAACTGGTGGAATGTTTTGATCTGAGGCCTTCTGTGATGGATATGGAGACCACCTGTGCTGTTTGTCTTTTGTAAGGCTGTTTTTTTCTCTCAGAGGAAGGTGTTGGTTTTGTTTTGGATGACGAATCTGAGCCGTCAGATGTTCTGAAGTCTATGAAGTTTTCTGTGTGGTTATCGTTAGTAAAATCATCTGTCTTGTGCAAAATGTTTTTATCTAAATTTGCGCAAACAGTTGTGCTGCTGGTAACTTTTTCAGCATTTTTCCACTTGAATCTTTCTTTGCAAAAATTATTTAATGTGTTACTTTTCATTGGCCACCCAGAATCCTGGTCTAGAGCAGTAGCACAGTGTCTTTGTGGCCAATTTTTCCTTTGTGGAAAAGTTTCAACATTGCCACCGAAGTTCCACTGGGTGTTATTGTTAGAATAAGGTTGCAAGTTTCCACCATAGTTTCTAGAATGCTGGTTAGGAAAATTTCTGATTCCCTGTGGTTGCCAGTGAAAACCTCTGCCTGTGCCTCTTTGATGCCAACTAGTTGCCCCCCCTGCGTTTAAATGCCATGAGTCTTCTACTCTGACATGGACCAACTGTCGAGTGGTCTGACTGCTCATGTGCCATCCAGCTCGCCCCCTTGGACCAGGGAGATGCCGATTAGAATTGAGGCCTAATGTAGAATGCATTAAATTCTGTCTAGGATTGCTGAAGTTCTCCTTTTGCAATTGCCAACTCCTTTCTGGCAAATCTCGCTGCCAGTCTTGCTGATTTATACCTGGATGTGGTATGCGTTCATCTCTTCTCCGAAATTCTTGCTCTTTGGGAATACTGCAGGTATCATCTTGCCTAACACAAAACAAAACAACAATGAAAATAATTGACCATTTCTGTGCTAAACTAAATTTCTGATGTCATTAAATCAAACCCCAATTCCAAAACATTTGTGCACAATCTACACAAAACAGGTTGCAATGATTTGCATACCTCATAAACCCACATTTTATTCGCAATAGAAAACAAACCAAATGTTTAAACTGACGTATGTACCATTTTAAGAAAAAAAATAAGGTCATTTTGAAATTGAAGGCAGCAAAAAAGTTAGAACAGGGCCATGATGGAGGAGTTTTTAGTAGGGAAGAACAAAGCCTGATGGAAAAAAAGAAAGATTAGTTCCCTGTTAAGTTCTCTTTACTCTTGATCACCAGTGCATGGCAGTGGGCAAATCCATAGATGCAATTCAATACAAATCGGCTTTAAAATCTGCCCACTACCGTGTGCTGCCAATCGAACATAAGCCGGACCTGTTGGGGAACTAGCCATACAGTTCCCCATCTTCCAACTTCAGCTCCATTTATCCAGTGACCTCACCAGTAACCTATATAACAAAAAGACAGCACACACCCACTAAACCCCAAACCAAAAACCCAATCAAGTCACTTAGCAATCCTTCCACTGAAGTACATGAAAATAGATATAAAATAATACAGCAAATTTGATTTAAATGAATAAACACATCAATAATATCAATACAACCCAAAGTCCAAATAAAATCCAAAATAAAGTCCAAAAAACACACTTGCAGGTGATTTCATAATAATTCAGATCGTGAAATGTTCAAACTCCAACAATTTAATGAATAAACCCACTGCACACAATGTAGTAAAAGTGCATAATTACCCTAAGATAGATAAAACCAGCATAGGATCCATAGTAAGGATGGGATTGCCTCCAAACAATATATAAATCATCTTCTCCAGACACCTCCCATAGACCTCATAAACAGACCAGGGTCAGTGTTTGTATAAAATACACACAGATTTTATTGTAGCAACTTACATTAAAAAACGATGAGATCAGCTTCCATATAGTGAAACAATCAAGACAACATCACTCCTCAGCGGTAGTTTCAAACCAATGGCCATACAACTCTGAAGGAGAGCCAGGTAGTAGATGGAAGTCCAAAGGGTATGCACAGCCGCATGTTCCAGAACCCAAGATGGCCGCCACGGCACTTCCGGAAACGTCAATACGTCACGTGCCCCGGACGCGTTTCGTCACATCCGGACTTTTTCAACAGGGATCCCTGTTGTATTGATATTATTGATGTGTTTATTCATTTAAATCAAGTTTGCTGTATTATTTTATATCTATCTCACCAGTAAGCTAATATTGGAATCTCCTGGCTGACAGCAGATTGGGGCTCGGGATGCAGTACTGTGCAGGAAGCACATACATGACAACTTCCCAGAACAGTCATGTCCCGCTCTGAGTAAGAGTATCTCTCATCCCTGCTCTTAATTATCATCAGTTTCCTCATCTGCAAACTAATGGTAATCCTTCGAGAATATGTAGCTGCCGTAGCTAGAGGTACTTAAATTGGCAGTGGTTAGAACTACCCGTACGTATCAGTAATGCCTCTGAAACTTGTGCAAATGCTTACCTGAAATAGGTGCAGGTAGTTCCTAAGAAGAAAAAAATGTGTTGGCAAAAAAGAAATTCGGGAGTTAAAATAACAAAACAAAACACACACATTCCCCTAGGTGGCTGAAGCATCAGCCTGAAGCTGCATCTGTCCCCCACCGCTTCAAAGACCAAGACCTGAGTGATCAAAGACCACTGATCGCTCAGTTCTCTCTGCTCCTCCAGAGCTCACTGGAGCGCCAGGCTGTGGAGGGGGAGGAGGTGGCTGGCTCAGGCTCTCAGTGGTGTGCTGAGAGGCTGAACAGGCTGCCGGTCAGAAATCTGGGTGGATCCTAATTTTAAAGTAAGGATCTCTCCAGAACCTAGACCGGCTCAGGGTCACAGGTATGCAGAATGAAATGCACTCAAGACCTACAGGTGAAGTAGGGCCAAAAGAGCTTTGGCTCTACTTCTCCCTTAAAGCAATACTGAATTCCCCAAATTGTCTCTTATTTTTCTTAAAGTGTATGTAAACTCTACCAAGCCATGAGAATGGGTGTTGCCCTGATTCATTTCTAAAACTGTGGGGTTCTTTCGGTAGGCATGCCGTCTTTGGTTACAGCTAAGTCTTTATAACTGAACCATCCACAAATTGAGATTAGACCTCTACACTCACTGTACAGATATGATTTCTGTGGTTATACAAACATGCCTGCTGGTGTGTGGTGGTCTGTCACATTTGGAAAAGTTTCTAAAATATCTGAGAGGTTAATGGAAGGTTTCTATATATTACCAGAAACAATTAAGTACTGTCCAGGATACTTTTTTTTATTTGCAACATATAATTTTTCAGGACAAGCTTTCGGGGTATACTCTCTTCTTCAAGGCCCAAGCAGTACTAAAATATCTGAGAGAAGCTAAAACCTTTTGATTAGTACTGCATGGGCCTTGAAGAAGGGGGTACACCCTGAAAGCTTGTCCTGAAAAATTGTATGTTAGTGCAAATAAAAAAAGTATTGTACAGTACTCAATAGTTTCTGTCGCAAGTGCACTATTACAGCTACAATCACGGCTAACATATATCACCACTTGGTCTTTAGATGTACCAGACCAAGAGGATGCTAAATGTAACTATTACTATCAACTAACACACACAGGATAGTTCTACTGCCATAGGTGACCACAACCCCCAGTAGAAGAAACTGATGCCCATTATCTGGTATCTGGGTTCGTCCTCATCTGTCTTAAACCTACTCTGAACTCTCCATCCATTTTGAGCCTGCAGTACCTGCTACTATCTCTGGTTCTGATTCAGAAACCCAACTGTCTACCTCTAACAAGGGTGTGTTTAATGCACTGCTGTTTTCTGTAGGTATCCCAAATTTGTAGAAGGTTGGTTATAACATTACTGACTCAGTACATGCTACTCTGCATCTGAAGGATAAGCTTGTTATAACAAGCCCTGAGCTTTCAGAGTTCCTATAGCTGCAAAGACCTCTCCGCTACACCCACTATTTAGGTCATAGGATGAGTACAGGGAACAACCAGTAGGATTTTGGGCCCCTCCCGGATGTGACATCGATGTGGGTGCATGTCCTCAAACACAGAATGTGAGTTTGGGGACATGCACCCACACGGATGTCAAATTGGGAGCAGCAACTGGGTCCCAAATGACATGAATGAGACTGTTTGTACACAAATGCATAGAAAATTTGTGCATCCCCGTATGGGCAAAAGAAGGCCCTCACACAAGTGTACAATTAAGTTTGGCCATGTGAAAGAAGCCTTAGCATTCACTTAAGATATCCAGTCTCTCAGGAGCTTGGGTATCCCTCCTCCCCTATAAGGGACAGCTCTCACTGGTTACAAAGGTCCATGGAGCAGGTATTCACAAGAATACCTTCCTAGCAGTGTTTTTCTTTCCTCCCTGGAATCTCAGTCCTTTTCAGCAAGCGAAGGCATACAGGAGGTCTTCTTGAACCTAGTAGTTCCTAGCGCTACCCCTAAATATATGAAGGTGAGCAAATCTCCCCTCAGCTTGAGGGGGACTCCTCCTACTGAGGAATCACCAGATATGGGGCCTAATGTCCTTTATCCAAGTGTGCAAGTGCAAACGTGTGTGGATTTTCTTCATCAATAACCGCACGTTTGCACTTGCACACTTGGATAAAGGACATTAGCAGATTTCACTGCCTGCTGTATAATATTTGTGGTCGTCACAGACTCTCGGTGATTTATATGATTGCACTATTCACACACTTGTTTGCACTTTATATATTCGAGTATGATATAAGATATTTATGTTTCATGAGTTTACAGCACTGCACGTTTATGATATACGTTTACATTGGGACAGTTACCAATACCTTAAGTGCTAGCAGCTATTTCATTTTGCACTTTATATATTTGCGTATGATAGAAGATATTTATGTTTCATGTGTTTACAGCGCTGCACGTTTATGATATACATAAGCAGGCCATAGTACATTAATAGATGAGAAAAAGATTGCACCTTGCCAGCAGGAAAAAAAAAAAATCTGGTCAGTACTGAACACCAGGGATATCTCTATAGACAAAATCATCAAACTTGGACTGCAACTAAGCCAATACTAGTAGGGTAAGATTTACTAAAACTGTTGCACACAGAATCTGGTGCAGCTGTGCATAGCAACCAACAGCTTCCCGGTTTTCATGTCAAAACCTAATTGAGCAAGGTGAAGCTAGAAGCTGATTGGTTACTATGTACAGCTGAATCAGATAAGCCGAGTTTTTCAGCACATTTTTTTTTCCAACAGAAGGGAAACTACGGTAAGTACAGGGGTGGGCAGGGGGCTGCTGTCTCTTACCTGGCTCCGGTCCCACGACGATCCGGTCCAGGAAGCGCGGCTGCTCCTTCATTCGGTTCGTCCACTGGATGTTTCTCGAGGCTGCTCGGCTCCGCCTTCTCACCGGTGATTGGCCGCCAGAACTGTAGCTCAGGAAAGGCACACAGGCGGCCAATCACCGGCGAGGAGGCGGAGCTGAGCGGCCCCGCGAAAATCGAGTGAAGGAGATGCAGGTAAGTGTGCCGTGCTTAGGTGCTGCTGCAACCACATATGCTGGCTGCAGCAGCACCATACTGGAACAGGGGTCAGCAAGTGTCAGTGGGAGGAATAGTGCCCCATCATTGGTGTCACCGATACCAATGATGGGACATTATTCCTCCCACTGACACCAACGATGGGGCACTTTCCCCCCCCCCCACTGACACCAATGATGGGGCACTATTCCACCCCCCACTGACACCAATGTTGGGACACTATTCCTCCCACTGACACCAATGATGGGACACTATTCCTCCCACTGACACCAAAGATGGGGCACTATTCCACTGACACCAATAATGGGGTGCTATTCCCCCCACTGATACTAATGATGGGGCGCTATTCCTGCCACTGATACCTATGATGGGGCACTATTCCTCCCACTGATACCAATGATGGGGCACTATTCCTCCCACTGATACCAATGATGGGGCACTATTCCTCCCACTGACACCAATGATGGGGCACTATTCCTCCCACTGACACCAATGATGAGGCATGATTCTTCCCACTGGTGTTCCCACCCTCGGCTTATACTCGAGTCAATAGTTTTCCCCAGTTTTTTGTGGTAAAATTAGGTACCTCGGCTTATATTCGGGTCGGCTTATACTCGAGTATATACGGTAAATCTCCCCCTAAGGTTGCTTTCACTGGTCTGTTTTTCTTCTGCTTTTTTGCGTTAAAAAAAAAAAAAAAAGAGGAAGAAAAACATGTTCCAATGTATTCCTATGGAAATCTTCACACTGATCCATTGCGGGTCCGGTGCGTTTTTCAAAGTCCTCCTTGCTGCATTGCTGGTGCAGGTTTGGTGTGGTAAAAAAAAAAAAAAAAAAAAAAAAAAAAAAAACACCTCCCCATTGAAATCAATGGAAAACTACATTGTGTTTTTGGTGTGGTTTTTGAGTCGCATGTCTTTTTAAAAACGCAGTAAAAACGTGGCAAAAATGCATATACCATTATATAAACCTTTTCAGTGTCTGTGAAATTATACAAAACATTAAAACCCAAAATAAAGTCGAAAAGAATTTTTCTCCAATTTCTGAGTTAAATTCACCGTGCGATTCCAATAATTTCTGTGTACCTCAAAACAAAGAAAAACTCAATAGTGTATTATCCTCAAATAATAAGCAAAAATTAATTCATGAATATTAATATTAAATCAAACCAGAAATGTCTAATTATTTTAAGGGACGTGACGTTGGACGTTGCACGGAAAACCGGAAGTGGCAGAGCGGCCATCTTTAGTGAGGTTTACCACATTTGGCGTTCCAGGAATCTGCTTGAGGTGGAGTTATGAGAATAATTTGCAATTTTAAGGTTTTTTATATGCAAGCACAATTATTAAAGCTTGGATCTTTATACTATCAGAACATACTGCACTATATGGTATCATGGAGTATAAGAGGGCAAGAATATTGGAGTGAACATTTTGGGATCAGAAGGTATCCCTGTGGTGATTGGAGCAAGGTTCCAGTGGATCACTATTTCTTTCTGGATGTCTGGATTCATTTAAGGCTGGTTTATTATTTTATTAGGGTAAGAGTATGTGATTCAGCCACTTAGATGTGTACACAGAGTGTTCACGGAGGAGTGTATATATAAATATTACACAGAGTGTTTCACTATCACAAGTGTTCTCACATTTTTGTGTGTTTTTATTTTGCACAGAAATAATTAGAAATTTCTGGTTTGATTTAATAATATTATTTATGAATTCATTTTGCCTATTATTTATTGATAATGCACTATTGAGTTTTACTTTGTTTTGAGGTACACGACAATTATTGGAATCACACAATCAGAAATTGGGAGAAAAATTCTTTGGACTTTATGTTGGGTTTTTATGTTTTGTATAATTTCACAAACACTGAAAAGGTTTATCTAGTTGTTTTGGACTTTCAAGGGTGAAAGTGGGACTTTTTAGTGTTATTGACACAGGGAGTTTATTTGATAATTTTTAGAGTGTATAATTATAAGATACCAATTTATATTTCACAAAAACACATATACGTTTTTGACGAAGATCAGTGTGAAAGTAGCCTTAGTGTTTCAGTTATAGACTACAACCCATATAAATTAAAACAAAAAAAATAATTCATATATACTTACTGGCTTTGTTCCCTCCTTTGGTTAATTAACTGGATGAGCTCCTCATCAAAGTATTCTTCATCATCGTCCTCCTTTGATCCCTCTTTGTCCCAGGCATAAACTTTATCCTTGTGTCCCTGGCTGGATATGTGCTTGGCGTAGGTCGAAAGGCCCACCACGGTCACCCTGCAAACCCGGCACTCATGGCTGCAGTCCCTGGGGATAGAGGCAAAAGAGGGGTGCTCAATTTTTCCAATAGGCATTGCTGAAAAAAGGCAGGCTATGCGGTGTCCTCTAAGAGCAGGGTCTCCTTGAATCTGTTGTTGCAGCACTATGTAACTTTCTGGCACAGAGAAAGTTTCTTTAGAGGGTGCTAAATTGCTTTATCTTGTTATTTTTTGAATGTAGTTTGAAGAAATCTTTGCATATTTAAAAAAAAAATCCAGGATAGATTTCTCTCCAACAATTAAGAGGCAAAGCTTGTTGAGTAAAATAAAAAGAAAAAAAAATCTTCTTTAATTGTTGTACTGAAAATCATGCCCATAGAGGACACACAGCATGCTGGATGGCAATCGAGGCAGGGGAGGTGGGTTGCAGAGCTAGATGTCTCAGCTCTGAAGCCCAAGCATGGTGTCAGCTGCCTCACTGACAGATTTCACTTTTATTTCTAGCATCACACTCTGCCCACGATCTCAGAAAGGCCATGAAGGGGGTGGGACAGCAGCCAATCACTAGGGAGAAACAAGAGCCTGGACAGCTGAAACGCAGGATGGGAATTTGAAAATTCCAGCCTCACAGCTGATGAAAGGGGCTGCTTGCTATTAAACACACCTAAAATGGCTATAACAACTATGCATTATGCTACAGAAGCACATGGGTTACAACAGATGGAAGAGCACAAACGGATCCTACTGTGCAGAAAGCTAATTGCCTACAGGATATATACAAAACAAATGTATATATCTGGTAGAATAAGAATTTCACGTTTGCTTTTTATTCTAACTTGCTGTCCATGATGAACTAGCAGACGTGGTAACGCACGTGGTCAGAATAGAACTAGTTCCACAGGACGATGACTTTTGGCACAAAAGTCGGTGCTCCCTGTGGCTGTGCATGCAGCCTTGTGGTGCCATCTGTTGGTGTGTTAGAAAACTATTCTCAAAACGTTTGTGTGTGTGTATTTTTTTTTTTTTTGTTACACACAGACAAAAATAAAACATTTTATTAGGAAGAGTTATTAATTTTTTTTCTTGCTGTCTGTGCCTTCCTATCCTGTGTAAACATCTTATGTACAGGAAGTAAAGGAAATTCATCCTAATGGGGACAAATACAGAAATACAACACAAAATTTGAACACTTAACCAATCTATTCAAAAAGCAAAAAAAAAATAAATAAAGGTTGGGTATAGCCATAAGTAAAAAGGACAGTGTAGCCAGTAAAGCCTTTGTGCTTTCCTGTGAACTGACCAGCACTGAGGGACTTCAACTGAACAATATAGTGGATGACTGGTGAACAGTGCCAGGATCTTGTGTTCAGTTCCCACTAGAGAAACAGTCTGCATGAAATTGATATGTCAGCACAACTACAAAAGGCAAATTTTTGTTTTCTCTGGAGTTTGGATTTTTAGCCTTGGGGCACTCCCTGGCTCAAAAAAAAAAACCAAAAAAAAAAAAACAACCAGACAATTACAATACCACCCATAGACCAGCTCGACCCAAACAATCCTCAGTGTTGAGGGCAGGAATATACTCGGTGGGATCAGAAACAATCAGAAATAGAAATTTGGAAACATTCAACAAATAGCATTAGAGAGATCAGGTACCTAATGAGTATATTTGACCATATCACAAGAGTACCGAGAATAAAATTCCTCACGACTCCCCCCCCCTTCCTAGGGGCTTGACCCTTCACCAATCTCCCACCATGTAGGGATATTTATGAGGGTTGAGCATGACATTACGCAGAAACGATACGCTCTTCGGCATTGGCAGTAGAGGATTCCAACCAGCTATCCCAAACTTTATGAGATTTATTAGGACAACCTCGGGAGAGGTATGTCATATTATACAGGGGAATCGCTGCATTGATCAGCTTCTTCTTCAATGGCCTAAGGTGGGTGGGGGGGGGGGATTTGCTATAAGATTTCACGGTCAACACAATGGCCTTCCTAGCATAAAAAAAGGAGTAGACTTTGTAATATTTTGGTAGCCCTAGAGAAAGCCAGCTGGTCGACCAGACCCAGTAGGCAAACTTACACAGTTGAGGGGACAGACATTGTGGTGACCGAGCAAATGAAGCAGAGGACATCAGTCCAAAATGTTTTTATATGGTGGCAGGACCAAAAAATGTGGAAAAGTCAGCAGGGGCGTCTCCACACCTCCAACAGTTGGGCTCTACGATAATTTCTATGGAGGCGCTGCAGGGTGTAGTATGCCATATGAAGTATTTTGAACTGAATTAGCCAATCTCTTGTAGCTACCAGGTGGGTAAAGGGGTATTCCCAAATGTCTTCCCAATCTTTCCCATCCAGCTCCGGCACCTCTGCCTGCCACCTCTGTTGAAGGGACTCAAGACCAGTATAGATGGAGGGTAGAATAGCTTATAGACTGTGGATAGAGGTTTAGTTAGGTCATCAGCCTGTAGTAGGGTCTGCAAATCATCAGAAAGTAAATGGAGTAGGTCCGCCCAAAACTGCGAAGAATAGGCATGGCAGAGTTGCAGGATTTAGAAAAACAAAGAATTTGGGAGGTCGTGGAGTTGTTTCATTTTATCAAAGGTGATACTATTACCTCTGCCACAGATATCTTTCAAATATTGAATCTCCTTAGAGGCCCAAAGACAGGGGTCTGGGATGGTTAAGAATTCAGAGAGCTGCGGGATGAACCATAAGGGAGTATATGGCGACCAGGAGGCAGAGGCCAGAGGGGTCATAGGGATGACAAGTCTCCAGGCCCAGATTACAGCCTTCATGGAGGATGTGAGGCAATGAAATGGGAGTCTAGGACCATGATATAGTGGATTTCTAAAGGCTTCATATGAGCCAATTTAAGCGGCTTCAAGGACCACTAATGCATTAGTGTCCTTAGTGCTGACCCAATTATGCGCATAGGTAAGGCCGCAAACAAGTATTTGTACAGATCTGGACCAGGCCTCCTTGCGTCCAAGGCTGACAAAGTATTTTTTGTTACTAAATCTCGGGGGGCGAGCTCTCCAAATAAATTAACTTATTAGAGAGAGTGGAGATGACAAAACATTTTTTTGGAATCCTGATCGGAGAATGCCGCAAGGCATATAGTAACACAGGCAATATTTTCATTTTGACTGGATTTATATGCCTGTTTATGGTCAAGGGGAGATTATCCCAGGCCCTTAGCCTTATTTCAGGGGAAATATTAATGCCCAAATACTTCACGGAGGTTGTCCACTGTAGGGGGAGGTCTGGGTCAGCTGCAGCTCGGGTGCCCAAGTCTATACGCAAAATTAGTGATTTGTTCTGGAGTTTAGATTTAAAGAAATAATTCACAAGGGATAATAGTGGAGATTTACTAAAACTGGAGCACTCAATCTGGTGCAGCTGTGCCTTTTAGCCGATCAGCTTACTTCAGCTTGTTCAATTAAGCTTTGAAATTAAAACCTGAAAGACAGTTGGTTTCTACACAGAGCTGCACCAAAGAGTTGTGTGTGATGTGTTGAATCACACACCACATTGCCCCCTACAGCAGTCGAGAACTGCTGGAGAGGTAAAGCGCCCCAGTAGTTGTCCGTTCTTGTGTGAATGCAGCCTTAAATACACATGCCTGGGCTAGTCCCTGGTACAAGATTCTCAGCCTATGCACATTGCTTCATACTGACCAAGCTATCCTTTCTGAAGTACTGCTTTAGCAAATCTTACATTTACATGTGTAGGGCAAATTAAAGTGTTACTAAAAAGGTAAATTTTTTTAAATGAAAATATTAAACATCTTGGTCGTGCCCAAGATGGTGCCGAAAACAGGTGTGTGGCTGTGTAGTTCCCTTATGCCGGTCGTTATCCTAGCTTCCATCCCGATTGAGGAAAAGTGAATTTTGGCTGTCTAGCTTCTCCATCACCTACTGCACTCCTGGGTGATGACCAAGGGCAGAAGAACCAGCCACCCCGCCACACAGCAGGTCCAGTGAGTACTGAGGCCTTGGCAGGGCCTTCCGCCTCTGCCACCTGTGCCACAGAGACACAGACAGACAGCCCGAACTCTGCCTCATCCAATTTTGACTCACTAATGCATGCTATTAACACTTGCCAAACTGCTCTTACTACTAAGCTCGACCATGTGCAAGCCAACATTGGTTTGATCCACCGAAACCTTGACCGATTCCGGAAGTGCATCACTGAGGTCCAGCACCAAGTGTCTGCACTGGAAGATGTGCAAAGAGACCACAATGCTGACCTCCACACATTGAAAAGCAAAGTGAAGCACCTTGAAACCAGAGCCGATGATGCAGAAAACCATAACGGACACAACAATCTGTGTATCATTGGGCTGCCCGAGGGCGCTGAAGGCTTTGATCTGACTACCACTGCAGACACTCTCCTGAAGACCTGTCTGCCCAGAGCAAAGATTTTGCCCTTTTTTTTGGTTAAGCGCGCTCACCACATGCCTGTAACCCGCAACCCACACCTTTATTTTTACTGGCTACGTGAAGCCTGAATCCAAGATGACCTGCTGTTTAAAAACATCAAGCTCCCTGTGTATCCGCCTTACTTCGTGGAGACACAGTACCAACAGAAGTCCTTCGATAATGTTCGGGCCAAATTACAAGAGAAAAGCCTCAAGTATACCATGTTGTTTCCTGCCAAGCTAAGAGTTCAAGATTGCGGCCGAGTGCACTCTTTTACTTCACCGGAGGATGCCGCATCCTGGGCCGAGACTGTCCGAGACTAGTAATTTCTTCTGTTTGGGATCTTCTCCTTCTTTAGTATGCTCTGCTGCATTAGCTTTGAGGGTCTGCTGGCCTGTTCTGTTAATGCTGTGATAATCCGTTTGCCTGCCTCATGCTCTGGGGGACTGTGTTGCTGTTCCTTTCCTGGGAGTCAAGTGCCTAATGAGGTGGGTTTTTTTCGACTGCTCTGGAATGCTGCAGGATATTGTTCCCCCCTCCATGCTGTCTTTTAGAGCCTCAGGCTCTCCACACAGATTACATTTACCGTTCAGCTATACTTAGGGTTTAACTGTACACGTTTAAGTAAAGTACCCCCCCGGTTTATCTGGGTGACCGGAACCACAT